TTTATCTGCAGTTAGTTACACGAATTCAGATATGTATCTTTAATAACTTGTACTTATGCACAATCTACTTGTAATCTTGAGTTTTAAGTAATATGCATTAATAAACAGTACTTTACGCGTAAAAAGTGGTTTTTAAGAGTTTTTGTCAAATATTTTATAATATAGTATAGATATACTTTCTCCCTCATCCACATACACAATTTTCAACCAACCCAATCTAAAATAGCTTTTAATAAAAATTATGTATTTAATGTTTTATTATCTATAATCAAAATTTAATTTTGTACTCTTAAGTAACATATAAAAAATATTTCGTGTTTTAAAACTGTAATAATAAAAAAAATGTTTTGTATGTGAAAATATGTCACATTTAGAGACTATTTTTAAAGAATTTAAAAATTATGAATTTTGGTGTATTCTGTTTTTCTAATAAAAAATTAATTATACTTAGGTAAGTCTTATGAAAACTTTAAATTTATGAATGGATGTCATGAGGCAACACTTAAGAGGATTATGTTGACCAACCCATGGTCACACAACGAACCGATTATAGCATAATATTTTTTTTCTTTATTCACGATCTGGTTGGTCTAAACTCACCATTCAACATAGTCTTAAGAACATACTTTTCGTCATTGCAGGAAGAACTGGAAAGAACATAAGATGAATAAATGGCGAAGACGGCTGCTGCTGCTGAGACTAGCAGCCATTCAATCCTGCTGAACATTGCCATGTCAGCAGACACGCCGTGCTCGTGTTGTCGAGTGTTTTTGTCCGGTAAAGTTTCTTTTCGTAGTTACAGTTGTGAACACTGAGTAGGCCATTCATTCACATTTACAGATTTCTTTGTTAGGATCAATAATCACAAACATGATATACAGGAAACAAAAAATCAAGCATATAGTTCACCGAGTCTTGTCTGAATGATATATTGATTGATTACCTGACTTAAAAGTGTGATTATTAAGTTTCACTAATAAGAGATTACTATGTGTAATGCTCCACGTAGAGAACAACAGGTTGACCCAATAACTTTTAAATTTTAATTTTTCTTAAAACCATATTAGAAATTGTTGGTGGCCCACAACTTCGGGCTGTAAATCTCATTCTCTATCCATGTGGTGGATTGTCACCTCCCCCAATCCCACCCCACCCACCCAACTTAAATGAGCTCAAATCCCACTTTCCATCAATGTGGGACGAGTTGTCAGAAACTCCCCCTTTAAATTCTTGACGTTCTTATCAGGCCTACCAACATTCTCTTTGTTTATCGGTGATTTTGGATTCACTTGAAATGTTGCAAGCACCCCCTTCAGGGACTCATCATGCTCAATGAGATTTTCCTCACCATTCTTATGGTATAATGATCAGGATCAGTTTTGATACCATTTGCATCTCCCCAAGCCCAAAATAGGAGCTGACCCAATAGCTTATGATTTAACTTAAGAACCATGGTGGAAGTTATTGGTAGTCCACGGACTTGGGCTTACGAGAAACTCAAAATATCATTTTCTATTCATTTGGGACAAGTCATCACAACCCTACCCCACTTAAAAGAGCTCACAAATCCCACTTTCTGTCAACGTGGGACGAGTTGTCTCACTATGTGATTTATTTATGTTTGTATATTTACACATTGAATCCTCGTTAACACATGCCTATTACTAGTATCAAAACGATGCACTGTTAGTTTGTGATTCATGTCAGTTTGTACTTGAGCGGAGCAACTTGAGTATGCTGACAAGCTATATATAGTATATTCGGGTCGAGTATTAGTTGTCAGAGTTATATATCGACGATTATATGAATTGACTTAAACTAGTAGATATTGTAAATCAACGTATTCTTTACTTGCAAGATCCTAGTTATATTATATGTGTTCGAAAACAAACCAATGGGATTATAAAAGAATGATTAGAAAACGAAATAGGATGCGATTAATATCACTATCCTTAGAATAATATTAGCGTCTGTTGTTTTGCTAGTTGTGTTGGTATATAGATGCACAAGGTCTGATCCTTTCAAGCCCATTTTTCAGTAAGCAAAAAAAAGTCGGGACTTTTTCGTTCCCGGGTTCAGAATTTGAGGTTGAAAGACGCCACGGTTGGGCTTTTTCAGGCTTAATCGGGCCTTTTGAGCTTTTTTAGACCCGAATGTTTTTGGGCTGGGCCTTTAAAAAAGTTGGCATATCGGGCTCTATGGTCGGCCCTGGGCCTGGACTTGGACTTGCTAGGTCTAGGTTCTTTCGGACCCGGCTTCGGGCTTGGGCTATTTTGTGCATCTCTAGGTTAGTTTAGAGCATCTGCAACGGCTATGCAAAGATAGAAATTTTTGTGGTTTTAGAGATTTTTTTGCTCCAACAGGTATGGTATAATGTAAACTAAAATAGAGAAAAGAAAGAAAGAGAGGTGAAAATCTCCGAATTTTGAGAAATCTCTAAAACCAATGTATAATAGAGGGAAATAATACTTTAATCTTTCCCACCAATAAGAGGCATTGATTTAAATTTTAGGAGAAAAAATAATATTTTATTAAATATATTGAATATTTTAATAATATAATTAATGTTAGAATCTCTAAAATAGAGTAGCTGTTAGAGTTTGGAGTTTGGAGCTGGAGTTCAATGTTGTTTTTTCAGATATTTTAACTTTTGATACTTTGTTGTAAATAAAATATATCATAACTGTTGGAGATGAAAATACATCAGATTTATTTTCCTCCATAAACACCTTTTTAAGAGAAGTAAGAAAATGAGTCTTTTTTCTTCAAACACCTCTACATATTTATAGATTTCATAGTGACAGTAAATAACTATCATCTTTCATTATCCATAAATAATTAAATATGAATTTAGGGGCCGTTTACTCAAAAACTTACTCGGTAAGCGCTTACCGGTTAAATTTAACATTATCGTTTACCTTACCGGTTAAGATTTAGTCCATTAAAACGGCATTGTATGCAAAAATTTACCCGGTAAGCGCTAACCAGGTAAGAGCCATCGTTCTCACTTACCGGGTAAGACTCTCGGTCATTGCCTTCGCTCTTATCGGGTAAGATTCTTGGTCCTTGCCATATTAATTGGTTAAGGTAATATAACTTGGTAAGTGCTTATCCGGATAAGTGCCTAGTAAATGATCCCTGTAAAAAGAAATTATCCCAAAAAATTAATCACAATTAACCTTGCACATGCACCTCTTTCTAAGTATAGTCTATGATTCTTGTTTGTTCTAATTTTCATTCCATTTGATGATTCTTTTGGCTCTTTCTTCAGCACCAATGTCGCAGCCAACAAGTATGCTCTCAATGGCTAATACTAATAGTGGGCCCCACACGAACTCGAGCCGGTTCTTCATCGCTCTAATGCTAAATGACCGAATCTCAAAATCATGGGGTTTGAGGTCCTTGATCTCATGGAAAAGGTAAAGTTACTCGTATTTTTGTTTATAAGGGTGGTGCCTGATTGATTTGAACTTGGCTCCAAAGGTCAAAAGTGTCCCAGGTTCAAATCCAAGGAGGAACAAAAATCTTCTTGTAGCCACGGAGGTTCAAATGCGGTGACTCTTTGCTTTGTGCAAAGCAGGTGGTCGCCCTGAGATTAGTCGGCTCGCATAGCGGGTTGGATATCCAGGTTAATCGGAAAAAAAATCATTACTCCCTTTAGATGTTACACATGTTAGAACTCTGACAAGGGTTTTCTGTACTGATTCCAATAGGATATGGGAATCGGTAACCGGCATCGATTAGAATCAATCGTATTGCAATCCGTGTGTCCTGACGGCATTGGACTGAGAGCATCCACAATGGAAGAGCTTTTTCGACAAAAGTGGGCCCATAAACAAATGGGGAAAAGCTCTCCAAAAACCATTTGAAGAAGGGAATCTTCGGTCATGATCGTGTTTTCACGCATCAGATTTCTCTTTCCTATACATTTTATGAACCTTCTATCTAACAAATTCTTTTTATTTTCTATTATTTAATTGGATTCGATCTCCACCATTGGATCATGTTTATGAACCTTCTCAATAAGGGCATCTCCGGTCCCACCACCAGATCATCTTTATTATCTATAACCTATATATTCACATTGTACCTTGAAAATATAATAATATAAAGTACATGTATTAGATTTTTATACGTATTTATGATATTTAATAATATGATTAAATCAAAAATATATATGATAGTAGGCTCATTTTGAAGATATTAACTAGACGATTATAATTTATAATGATGTAACTTGTAAAAAAAAAAACATATTTTTAATGTATTTTAGTCAATATATGATTATAACGTTTATAATATAAGGTTGGATTCCGATGAAAATGAAAGTTAAGCTGAGAAGCGTAAGAAGATATCTTCATCCTTAGATGCACATTAGGATGGGAAACACTAAGATGAAATGTACCAATATGTACATGATCAATCCCTGTATGCATAATTCATTGGTGGTTCTGAGCTTATAGATGATTAAGGGTTTAGATCTCTTCTTATACTTCTTACCTTAACTCTTCTTCTTACACGATTCTTCGTTGGAAAGTGAAAAGGCAAATAATATAAAATAAATTAAATAAATAATTATAAAAATAAAAATAATAAAGCATTATAAGGTTACCCCTCTGTGGATACTATGGGTTTCTTTTGTCTGTCGTTTCTGACTATCAAAGAGATTTCAGGTATGTGAATTCTTACTCAAGTTCGTTCCCTAAACCCTAAGTTTGCGACAAAATTGAAGCTTTGTTGAGTTTTATGCATAAATTAGGGCGCCAAATTGCAAGAACCGCTGGATCGAGACGAAGGATTTCATTTCCAAAAGCGTAAAGGATTTCATCTTCTCGATCAATTTCAACTTGGCTTCTGTGAATAATCTAGGTATGTGCTACGATGATTTCCATATAAAAATGTGCTAAGTTAGATTGTTTCCACTTATAATTTCCACAACTTTACTGATTATGTTGTGATTTTTTCAATATTTATGCCCTTTCACCCTTGCTGAAACATGAATTAGGCAAAATGTTACATTTACACTTTTGATGCCAAAGGGAATAGAAGGTTTCCTATTTTTACTTTAATTGAAGCAGATTTTTAGGCTAGTGTACGGAGAGCCATCCACTTTTTTTGTGTGGATCACAACAGCAAGAACAGATCCTATTGAGTAGGGATGTGATGAGATTATAGAAAGTTGTATATGTAGTTGTAAACAGAACCAAACATATAAGGTTAATTCCATTGGTAGAAGTATTTAACCTTTTTAGGAACAATAATCAGAGGCCATCCTTTACCTGTTTTTTTTATTTGCATGAGTTTCTCTAATTTATGATATATCCAAGGATTCACTTAGGGCCTGTCTTTTAGCAGCTTAATGAGCTTCATGGGGCTCAAAGCTTATTTGGTTAGCTATACATGACTGTTTGGTAGTGGCTTAATGATATTGAAAGTGGCTTATTCAGTAAGCTTCTAGGGGGAGCTTTATGCAGAAAGCCAAGTTTCTTCCGAACCTCCCCCACCCAACTAAAAAACACGCTCCTTCCATTTATGAAAAAACCCTCCCAAACAAAAACTTTCTCAATTTATACAGACATATTAATACACATAGACAACTTTATCCATACAAGACTTGATGAAAAATCGACCAAGCAGCCCCTAATTGTCAAATGGATATTAAAGATAGTGGAAGGATGGAAAAATTGTCCTTAACTTCTAATATCTTGGGAAGGTATGTTGACTTAGCAAAACATTACTGAGAGCTACATTATAAAGTGAATTTTACTTTGACGTTATGGATTAAAAGTCCATTGTTTTGTTCTGTTGCAAGCAGTTTTGCAGCCTTTGTGTTCCACAAAGGTCCATAATTGAGCTCTCCGAATTAGCATTGGGTATATTTTATAATTAGTTGCTTTAACTTTATTTGGCATTTGTTTTGGTGATATATGTTTTCATGTAGAATACATTAGTTTTGTTTATCATGTTCAAGTTATTTATGAAGTTTGGTTATATTTTTCTTTACATGGAGTTGTCAAGTTTCAAGTTGATACGTCAAGGTTTATGTAGGATACATTCGTTTTGGGCAGGGACGGATCCGATGGAATAAAAATTATAGGATCGTGAAAAGTGTCACCATATCAATTTGTTCTGTGCCATCATATATATTTTGAAACTACAATGAGGACATAATAGAGTTGGTTTGCAAGGCTTTTCTTCCACTGTATATAGCCATTTTCTTAGTTTTTAGCTTTTAATTTCAGATTCATTATGTTTTTGAAAAAAATTGCAATAAAAAACTTGAACCCAGGACCTCACATATAAAAAAAGATGAACTAACCAATAGACCAATGATAATTTTGTGAAGAATATCCCTATATTTGTTTTTTGTTGTCGAATGGTGCCACCACTTAAAAAAATTCTAGGTCCGTCTCTGGTTTTGTGTTTTTTGCCTGATCACAATATGTGCTATGCCAAGGTTCAAGTTGATGATGTCAATTTTTGTTCAAGAGTTTTTATCATGTTTATAAAGTATATCATATTTTTAACAAGTAATGTGGTGTTTGTAATTTATATTTGCAAGGTAATGATAACAATTTGGTATTTATATTTGCCAAGTGATAATTGCAACTAATTTATTAATTTAGAACACTTATCAAACAATCATATTTTTAAAACATTAAATTATGCACCAGGTTAAAATGGTAATTTTTTGTTATTTAGATTATTCATCCATAATACTTATCAAACGGTCATTTTTCATTCTGCACTAAATCATACAGAGCCTCTTAATCATTTCATACCAAATCATTCAACATCTACCAAACAACCCCGAATGGAATGAGACTTGGAAGTTGTAGTAGTTGAAGAAGAATGGAAGAGGTAGGTCACAGGGTAAGAGAATTGATACAAAAGGAAGTGCACGATTGGGATTCGGAGGTGATGGTGAGTGCGAGATTCAAAGCTTTCAGTGGTCAGAGGTCTGATTGGGAATCACGGTACTACTTCTGGAGAGATTTGATCATCAAGATTGCTCGACATCTTCACATCTTCATTATTCGTCCTTCAGTGGTGCAATTCCTAATTCTCATTTTTAACCCAGGGTTATAGGGGAAACCTCAAACCTCCGTAATTGATGTCGGTTCTTGCTTTTCTCAAGGTTAAAAATGTCTGGTTCAACCACGGAGGCTTGACCCCTTTATGCCTTGACCATGTATTGGTTAGCTTCTTTCTTCTCTCGTTGGTATCTACCGTTTTTCTGTTTCTGGTGAACTGAAGTATTCATCATCACCATAGTTCTGCTTCCTTCCTCCAGCTTCAAATGTATAATGACGGGGACCTTTCATGTAGCAGCGATCTTATCGATCCAAAAAGTGGCCAACTCACCCAGATATTCCACAAAGTAAGACATTTGCTGCCCTTGCCTAAATCACCAATTCCATCTGAAGACGAGTTTATCGTTTCTACGCTCTTAGAGGTAAACCATAAATACCCGCTAGGAGTCAGGTTCACACGAGAACGGTAACCATATAAGAGAATAAGAAAACAATCGAATCACATGCGAGTTTACACTAAAATCACGTGTAAAATCACACGTGATTCATGCTACTTTGGCTGGGCCACGTCGCCCTCACACCTTTACATCGATCGTCAGTGTAAAATCACATGTGATTTGGCCATTTTGTGTTCTGTTACTGTTCTCGTTTGAAGCTCTCTCTACCTGCTGGTAGAACATGTCTTGGGTTAATGAATTCCATTATCTTTATCTATAAAGAAAAAAAAAACATGTCTTGCTTATGCTCTAATGATTCTACTCAACTCCTCTTTTACCAAGTATAGGAGAAATCTATGGAAGTTATCAAACTTTTACGTGACGATCACTGGACTTGTTCGTGCATTGTCACGATGAGCAAGTTCCAAGTGATTTGTGGAGGGCCAAAAGAAGCATCAGTGATCTTGAGCCATTTGTCTAAATGTGGGAAAGCAAAGTACCTTGCCATCAGACGGAAGGATCTTATAGAGGTACTGATATAGATCAAGTTGAAGTTCTTCTATTCCTTTTATATTGTTATTATTACAACCACCCACCACCACTACCTATCAAAGGTGCCAAATTGAGTGGCCCGTTATTGTGCTGGTGTGATCTTGGTAATTTTCAAGATTTTCATAACTTAGTAGGACCCACCTTCGGGCCTGGCTCGTTTGTTTTGGTCTGTCAAGCATGAGATCAGTTTGAACGGTACTTGAAGCTTATACTATGAGATTTCCTATAACAGGGTGTCAAATTCTCTCTTTCTCTCCAGACGGTCTCTGGTATTACAAGTCCAGATTATGATGTTCTGCACTTGATTTGGACAGCAGAGAAGCTCCAGCTACAACTTGATATGATCGATCAACGTCGGGAAAAGTAAGCATGCAAAGAAACATTAAGTTGTATGAACCACAACTATTTGGGCCTTGCATGCGGTTTACATCAATTAAACTTGTGGACATCTTATATTCATCTAAATGATGATAATAAGTTCACGTCACCTCTTTTTCATATTGTTTTGCAACGGTTTCCTCCCCAAATTCATTCAAGAAACAAATTATAGCGGTTTCCATAATGAAATATGTGATTGTGTAGGTCGAAAATGTTGGCTTTGGCTTCTCTAAAATCTGGGAACAAAATTAGTGCGTTGAGACAAGCAACAGAAATGAAGTTGGCCTCTGAAAGCAGAGAAAAATGTAATTTGCTTCTAATGCGAGTGGAGGAAGTCCTTAGAGCCATAGCAGATGCTCAAGATTCAAAACAGGTTTGTCCAATCTTTCGGTTTGGTGGTAAATTCAACATAGGGGCTGTTTGGTTGGTTTTCCATAAAGTCTTGTATGGATAATGTATGTGTGGATTAATCTGTCTGTTTAGATTGGGAATATTTTTGTATGGGAGGGTTTTTCATAGATGTAAGGGGCGTGTTCTTTAATTGGGAGGCGCAGGTTTAGATAAAAACTTGGCTTTTTGCATAAAGCTCCCCCTAGAAGCTTATTGAATAAGCCACTACCAAACTGTCATATAGCTGAGCGAATAAACAGTGAGTCCCATTAAGCTCATTAAGCTCCTAACAAACAGGCCCATAATATGATAACAGTTTCTAGCACTTGTATAAACCATACACTTTTGGGATTTGTTACTCTCTAATGGCAGGTTTTTGAAGCCATTCAAAGTGGCAGTAAAACAATAAAGGATAGGCAAATCACCATAGAAGAAGTTGAACTCTGCTTGGATGAACTTGATGAGACTATCAATTCACAGAAGCAAGTAGAAAAACTCTTAGGTATTTGAATTTTACTCTCTCTCTATTCACATGTGATTATAATTTTACTTGCTTTCTATTCACATGTGATTCTAAACCCACCCAAAAGCAGGATCTGGGGAGGGTGAGATGACTCAGTCTTGACATGTCATTCCATATCAAGAATTATTATCTTCTTCCTAACATGGGTTTGTTGTGTGGCTTTTCCAGGGTCAGTTTGGTCATATGAAGAATTTGATGAAGATCTTGAAGATGAGTTGGATAAACTAATGTTGGAAGAAAGTGGAAAGTCTGAATCAGATGGTGGCACAAGGGAACAGGAATCACTGAGTAAGAGCCTTTCAGATCTTAAGCTTTCAGATAATAATAATAATAATGTAGTAGTGACCAGGGGTGTTCAAAAACCCGACCCACCCAACCCAATTCAAAGCAAAAAAAAAAACAACCCGAAGCAGCCTGATGTCTAATTGAGTTGTAAAATCTTCAAATCTTAGGTATTGGGTTGGAATTGGGTCACGGTCATTTGAACCCAATATCTTTTTATTTCTTGGATTTAATATGATTGTTGAGTCTCTATTAACATGTAGACAATTGCATGGGTGCATACCCTGTTCATATACATATATTTTCAATCTTTTTTCCATTTTTATATATCTCCTTCGTAAATATGTTCAGTAGTTAAATATGAACATATATGTGCAAATTGAGAATGGTTGAATGTGGTATATTTAAAGAGTATGGATACATTAACGATGAATAACGGATAATGAGTAGAAAAAACAACATATGTAAAGTAACAAACATAGGGGAATATCTTGATATACCAAAGTATCAACTCGACTAACCCAACCAACTCGTATGGTTTGGGTTGGGTTGTGCTTTGGTTTGAGTTGGATTGAGATTTTTCAAACCCCAAATATTGGGTTGGGTTGTTCAAATGCCTTCAACTCGATCATCTCATTGCATGAGACAGAAACCCTAAATAATATATAAATCATTAATGAACAAAAGGTAAATTGGTTTCCAAACAAAACCATCTTTATGGTTGATCCTTTTTTTAATCAATAATAATTTAATACAAAGGTAAATTACACATTTGAATTTGGATACAATCTCTATTATTTCAAAATAAGAACACTTAATGGGCGTTTGGTTTGATGGAATGGTTTTGAGGGATTTTGATTTGGTTGAAGGATTTAGTCAAGTCAGCTGCATCTCATTGATGTTAATCTTCAATTAGGATTGATCTAAATGCGAAGAACCCTTCTTACCTTTTTTATCCATTCTCACTGGAGCCCAACCAAAAACTCATATACCTCTCCTTAAAATTGATAGCCAAACCAAAAATATGCGACACCTACCAACACGAGGTGACAATCAACCAAGATTGCATAAGTTTGGTCGCATGTACTAAGGAAAAAATTGGACTGAACGCTACACGATGTACCTCGCGACATAAGTCATGTGGCCAGTTGGCATAAAGTAACATGCGTGCCGATCATTTTTAGGCATTTGCTATTGGCTTTCAATTTACATCAATTTCAGCAACAAGATTATGTTGGTTTATTTTTTTTAATTATATAATATTTATATACGATAAATATAATAAATAAACTCATACACCCTCCTTACATTTGATGAGGTTTGAACTCCTGACTTTTTAGAAGGTCAAAGACTCACACGAGTCTTCTTCATTAAAGTTTCAAATCCCACTAAACATGGTTTCATCTCATAGCAACCTCACCTCTCTGGTATTTTTTAGATTGGATCATTGTGTTGTGAACATACATCTGCTATAAATATCTCTTCATCACTTCATAAATTTATAGGATAAAATATAAACATCTCTATTCAAACTATTTATGATCATCATGATCACATTTTTAACAGAGTTAGTGACTAGAGATCATTTTCAAAACAAAGTGCAAACCACAAGGATGATTTTTAGACTTGTCAAATTCAGGTCTCAGTGTCAAACTTTTCACTAAACCTCAAAGACAAGATTACAGTTTACTCTCTCTCTCTCTCTCTCTCTCTTCATATATATATATACTAGTTGTGTACCAGAGCAATGCGGTGGGAGCCATGAATTTTTAACGATTTTGAAGTTCTACTGGTTTTATAAGATAAGATTTAACGATGATATAGGATACACTTGGTCTTTACATATTAATACAATTTGAATAAATAAGAGTTATAGTTCCTATTACCGACTATCGATGAAAAAAATTGTATGACAATTTAAAATCCAATATATTTAAAATCCAACATATTTAAATGACTCCACAAATRTATTCGATTTACACCAAGAGCAAAGAACCAAGAAACTTGAGTTTTAAGATAAACACTCAAAACCAATAAAAAAACTACAAATTTGACAGATCATAAGCCATGAAAAGACAAAAAAAGATGAGTTTTAGAATAAAATTTCAACTGCTTACCCTATTTCTTGTCCAGAAACTCAGAAAGTTGAACTAATACATGTATATATATATTTCAAAAAAAAATCCAAGAACATATTAATTCAAAACATATTATACAGTGCAATTTGGACAGCATAACCCCAAAATATATATTATATATATACATAAATAACTATAAAAGTATAAATCGTAAATATTAAAAATATTTTTTCACAGTATATATAATATATAATAATATAATTAAGTAAAAAACTATTCAATATTAAACTCATTTCGAAGGTATTAGCGAGACGATTATAATGGTGTAACTTGTTAAAATAAAAATTTATTTTTTAAACATGTTTTAATTGATATACGATTATGTATGTTAATTTGATAAAAGTTTAAAATGAAACATTTAAAAGTAAAGGACGTAAAGTAAATTAATTAATTAATTATAGGAGTAGAAAGTGTAAATTTAAAATTATAATTTAAAAAAATCGGTTGTGAGAGGGTGAGTGTATGTGAGGAAAAGAAGGTTGAAAAGTGAAAAAGTGAGTATAAAAGGTATTTTGGTCATTTAGTATTTTAAGACTTTAAGACTTTTGTTAAATTTGTTTAATAATATAGTATAGATATATATGAAAAGGTTCATTTGAGAAATGGTAAATATTTGAGAAGTAAATAAGTGATCCTAGTCTTTTATATGGTCAACATTTGCGGTTTTGACTGTGAAGTACCGGATAATTTCTTGCAAGGATATGCAGAAGATGGAGGTGTAGTTTGGTAAATTTTACACATAGACGACAAACGTGTTCATATGTGAATCCATGTGATTCACATATAAATTGTACGTTCATATGTGAACCTGTTAATTAGTTCACATGTAGACTATTTAACTGATTCATATATGAACCCACATGTTCATATATGAATCAATTGATTAGTTCATATGTGAATCACACAAGTTCATATGTAAACCGAGTTTTTGTTTCACAATGTGTTCGTTTTACATGCACTCAGGTCGAGTTTAACCAGGTTGATTAGTTGTTTCACAACGTTTGTGCTGTCTTATCAACAAACGAATCGAAATCTCTTATTCTGTTATGGCGATAAAAGCCACCTAAATATCTTTTTTTATATCATTACACTAAACAAGAGCTAAAATAAATTTATGTATAGATTTTATCATTTTAAGAGGGTGATTAAATGCACCTCTATATATTGCTAAATGCACTTTTGTCTATAAATTTCATTCTCCCACACGTCAACATCAGAACCTCTGTTTTTACATTTTTAATGCATGAATTAACTTGGTTCTGACATATAGGGGTGCATATTGTAACACTCATGTTTTATCATGAAAAATGTTACATAATCTAAAACAAATTATCCATAAATACTTCAAAATGACGGTTAACCTAAAATCGTTTACAGCGGAAGACTTTAAAATAATAAATATGTAACTTAATGTTAACCCGTCCCATACCATATTGCATTACAAATTATTTTATGATAGATGTTTGAACATGAATTTTGTACTTAAATAGACTAGCAAGTCTATGTGTGTGTGTGTCCTTTTTCTTTGTCCAATCTGAAATCTTTTGTTTCTGAAATGCATATTGTAGTCAGCTTATAAAGCTTAGTGAGTCATGGTTTGCATGAATAAAAAACATTTCACATTATACATATCAACTTGTAAACTTTTCCCCAAATAATATGCATTTCCTGAAACAAGCAACGCTGAAATAAGATAAATCTCATAAACTGCCTAGTTGGGTATGGGTCGTTTTGTCACTACTATTCCCTGGATTGTCCGACCTGCACCTGTCTGGACACCCGTTACGGGGTTGTCGTAGTGGAAGAGAAGGTGGTCGGTCATGCTACTGATGGTAGCGACGACTACGACTAGCGGTGGTGATCACTAAAACAAATATCATATTAAAGTTATACATCAAATGAGAGTTAATTAGTAATATTTTAGTTTTATTTTCATTCTTATCCATCTTGTTCCACCTATTTGATGGAACACGAAAAAGTCTTTTTTATCCCACGTTGTCCCAGTTCTTGTCTCTGTCTCATGTAATCAAACATGAGACAGTGGATTATTTGTCTTGTCCCATGGCAGACTAAATGTGAGATAGTGAATTTTGTCCTGTGTTGTCCAATGTACCAAACGCACCCTTAAAGTGGATGAAACCAACATAGTTAAGATTTGTAAATTGTAAAACATAAAAATGAATATCAACGAATTACAAACCATATGGATGAAAACCAAAAAATTTAAACGATAGGGATGGAAATTGTAATTTTTACGAAACTATAGGGACGAAAACCGTAATTTACTATTGCTTGCTTAAAAGTGATTAATAATTAGTACTTGTTGAAAACCAGGCCGGTTGACTACCCACGAGCCGAATTTACGTGGGAGTTCGTACCCCCAAAATACCAACAGTGGCTTCTCCCTCACACTTCAATTATGGCGCTAAAATCACACTGATCAATTAGGGTTTTCAAGACCCCTTCTCGCATTTCCAACATCAAATTCCTTTCCTCCCATGGCTACTTCCAATGGAGATGGTCATAATAATAATCTCCAAGGAACGCCTATATCTTCAAACCCTAACCCTAAACCTAACAGCAAAGATCCCATCGCCCCCGTTGCCGGTGGCGATTTGTCGGGTAAATCGCCGAGCCCTCAAGACTTTATACTGTCAGTGGCTTTAAAACTTTCATCTCAGCCTTTACAGTATTCTGACCCTGATGTCTGGGGCGTACTCACTGCCATCTCTACGAAAGCCCGCCAACGCCGTCAGGTTTTGCCTTTTTGCTAACTTGATTATTTTATTTTTAAACCTTAATGTTTTTGCTTTGATTTCTTTGCTTAATCATGTTAGGAAATGCTCCTTGGTGAGAAACTTTTTGACTTCAAAACTGAGGTGAATTGTTTAAATTTCGTGATAATGTATGAAGGTTGTTGAATTTGTACAAATTCTATATCGATGTGTGATTAGTGAAGTGGATTTGACACCAAAATCGAAATGCATTATTTTTGGGGAAATCTAGAGTGCTTACATTTTCGTCTGGACATAATTACGCTATTACTCTGTTATAACCTTGATGTCTCAGTAATGGGTAGGTGTATTGAACTTGTTTACTCAATTGAACATGGTTGGAAGTAATTTTGTAGCAATTACATTTCGTTGATGAAGTTACCTGATAATAATACTGATAAAGCAGGGAATAAATATGCTTCTGACAAGTGATGAGCATGTGATTGGCCGAACTGTAGCTGATACACGGTTCCAGATTTTGTCAAATCAAATTAGCCAACATCATTGCAAAGTATATAGGAAGAAGGTTTCTTCAGAAGATGCAGAGGGTCAATCCAGACTCTTTAATTGTGGCTTCTTGAGAGATACTAGGTTTTTGCCCTCTTAAGTAAATGGAGCTTGTTTGATAAACTTTGGATTATGAAATTGATTTTTTCACTTTGTTAACCGTCTACAGCACAAATGGAACGTTTCTCAACTGGGAAAAGTTAAACAAGAACAGCCCCGAGTCTAAATTACATCATGGAGATATCATATCATTTGCTGCACCTCCTCAACATGGTAAATTCTTTTGGAACTTCTTGGTTTTTTGTCTTTTGGAACCTTGATGCTTTTTTATCCAAATAAATAATCCCCTTGTGATAACAGAACTTGCTTATGCGTTTGTGTTCCGAGAAGTTCTCAAACCTACTTCAGGGACCGAAAGTTCGCCTCTAAAAAGAAAAGCGGGTATGTGCTTGATATTTTTTGTTATATGAATCCTCTTACTAACATATTAATCATCATTGTTCTGTTTGTCAACATGTATGAAATGGTCTCCACTTTTAGATTACAAAACTAGAATGATACTGTTATAGCACAGTAAAACCATGTCGAGTAGGGCAGTTTGCCTTCTGTTTTCTTTGAAATTCACATGTTCGGTAGTTTTCTGTGTTAACTTTCTCAAAGCATTTAGATAATGTTACTTGAAGGATCATTTGGTCTTGCTATTGATATAAATCCATTTGTCAACAATGATATCAATATATTTTATCTATCTGTTGATACCAATTACCTTTGGAGGGATTGTCATCTCAAGATGAAAAATCAACATTCAATTCTGTGATCCCTTGTATTGTCATTCTTAAGTATACCATCATTCTAGAAGATCTCTCTCTACTTCTGAACTTAATTTGTTTGTTGTACGAAGATGAGTTTGGATCTGAAACCAAAAGGCTTAGAGGAATTGGTATTGGTGCTTCAGAAGGTCCTATTTCGCTTGATGATTTCCGGAGCCTTCAGCGGTCAAACACGGTATTCTTATTTTGAACATTGATTCGCGTGTAGATTATGATTGATGAAATAGATCCTTTGGCTCATATCTTCTAGTCCACTTGTATCTCCATGTAGGAATTAAGGAAGCAATTGGAAGATCAAGTTGCAACCATTGACCAATTGCGCAATGAACACCGTGCAGTGATCGAGCTTCATGAAGTTGTATGTTCAGCATACTTATTGGGCCTTTATGTTCTCTATCTCATGCTCTCTATCTCATGCAACTTACATGCATGTGTTTTTTATTGGTTGTATTTGGGTTGCGGTGTTGACTTGATTATGTGTTGTCTAGTGGGCTAAACCTCTTGTTTCTTCTATTTGCTCTCTTGTTTCTTTTATATTTTGTTTTGCATGTAGGGGATCTTCACAGAAACATTCTCTCTACTCCAAGCCTTGGGGTAAAGGAAACTTTGCACATATCCTACCCCTGGACCCTACCACTTTGTGATTTATTGGGCTTGTTTGGTTTGTTTTGGTTTTCAGTAGACAAAACCTGAAAGGCTATTTGTTTTCATATTTTGTTATGCATTCTTTAGGAAAAAGGCCCTTCACTATTTAGTTAAGTGAAAAAATAAGAAAATTTTGCACACATTCACAAACTTTATACTTAACGTTAATGGCCGATTAGGTTATAGCTTGTTAAGCTAGTTTGAAGCCTGGGTCAACAAATCATATGGCGTCTGTTTAGACAAAGCAGTTCTTTTGAATTGCTCAAGTTCTTCAAGTAGAGCTTTGCTATTGGTTTGGTTGATGTGGTCTGCAAGATTTACTGTTTCAGAAGCCAGCTGATTTCTTTATTGGTTGTATAGCTGCTGGTGTCTGTTCTATAGATTTGCTCATTTTTCACTTTTTAAGATTTGTCCCAAAACATCATTTTCACTTCCATTGTTACCTCTTTCTTATTCTGTTCTCTTGGCTATTGTCTTAATTGACTTCCCTCTTTCATATTTTCAGGAAAAGAAAAACTTAAAAGAGTCCATTTCTAAAACTTATGTAGATGAGCTCAAGGAGGCACGCAATATGTTTGAAGCAAAGCAGAAGGAATTAGTTGAAGTCAATAAAATAACTTCTGAACAAAAACGTGCTATGGTGGACCTCAATGAAAGACTTGATGCATCTTTGCAGTCTTGTACTGAAGCAAATGAAATAATCACTAGGTGAGTTAAAATTTCAATATGTATCTATTTAAATATGTAATATTTTTCTTGGTGCCATGCAACTTCCAAAAAGTCTAATGTGTGCCCACTTAAATCATGTACTTGGGAGGTTTCTTTGTTATGGAGAAGTATAATATTTGAACTAAATGCATTTTTATATTTACTTTCGATGATTAAGGAAATGTCCAGTTAATTATCTCTTATTGATATTATTTAGAAAGGGTTATGAATTACATTACCAATTTAAAGTCCTACTTGCTAAATACGTACGGTAATAGATGACTTGAACTCCAAAGTTACCACCATATATTAATGAGGAATACCATCCCTGTGGTTACGATATCAATGGTACAATGGTGATGTAAAATCTGCTAAACCACTTTTTTGTATATATATTTTGGATGCTCAAAAGTCAAAATGGACGCTGTTTTGGATTTTAAAAGTGTTACCCTAATAAGAAGGCATGGGAGATTGCTATTTTTGTTTCAGAGCTCCTCATCTTTGTTGGAATAAAACCGTCTTCTTTCTGAAAGAATTAAGAATTCTTGTTCTAACCAAAATCCTTATGATTGTTGTTCTCTTGAATGAGGAGCTGAATCAACCATGATGTTGCTGATATAACAAGTTACTATGTTGCATAATCTACATTAAATCTGTAAATGCTGCAAATTTGAGGAAGCATATTAAATTACTTATTTTATCTCTTTAGCCAGAATGCATCCATAAGTGAACTCAAGATGCTTCTAGATGAAGAGAGAGATCAAAGAAAAGACGATCGAGAGAAGGCTGTGGCAAACTTGACAGCCTCAATTCAAAGGGTTAAAGCAGAAGCTCAGGAGGAATTGAAGCGGCTCTCAGATGCTTCTCTTAGAAGAGAAAATGAACAGCAAGAAATTATAAATAAGCTTCAGGTTTGAGAATGGTTTTGTCTGATCATGGAATTTTTTTGTTTGTCTCAACACAATATAAAACAATTAAATATTAATGTTCATGTTTTCAGGAATCAGAGAAAGAAAGGTGTTCATTGGTGGAGACTTTGAGATCCAAATTGGTAAATTCTACCACCACTTGTACCATGTTGTGAGCATTGATTGGCTAGTTCTTTAACACTTTATATTTGATCTTCTCTTGGTTCTACAACAGGAAGACACTAGGCAGAAACTGGTTGGCTCGGATAATAAGGTCCGACAGCTTGAATCCCAGTTTTCTCAAGAGCAACGGGTTTCTTCCATTGCTAAAAGAGTATGAACACCTCCTAACACTCCTGCTAAAATATAAATTAGATTTAATCACTAAAATAGCCAATTTCGGAGAGGACCATCACAAAATGACCCACTTTTTCCAAGCTAGCACAAAACAGCCAACTTTCGCAACAAAAAAAGTTGCACACACCCTTACTTTTGCTAAATGTCCTTTTTTTTAGCATATTTTACTTTTTTGTGGGCCCATTTCTCAAAAAGCATTCGCAAAATAAGCAACTTATTGCAAAACATTTCGCAAAATAAGCAACTTTTTGCAAAATAAGAACTTGCGACGGGATTGTGCGAAAAATCTCGGAAATTGAAAAAAACTGACCAAAAGTAAACAAAGGTTTTGCGAAATTGGTGGTTGTATTCTAATTTGGAAAAAGCAGGTCATTTTGTGGTTGGTCCATTTCAAAATTGGCTATTTTCGTATCATCATAGAATTTCATGTTATATCTAGTTGACTCTGTATGAAGTGGTTTTTGATTGTACATTCTGTGATTATGCATTCGCAGAAGGTACAAGAGCTTGAGCATGAAACTAGCAGACTGAGAAAAGAACTTGAGAGCGAAAAGGTAGGGATGGCTGTACATTTCTTCCCCATTATCTTCTTAGGATGTTTTTTGCTTCAGTACTTTCAATCGACCCATCAAGAACCTTAGATGAGTGTCCTTTTTATGAGTTCTATGTGACAATTCTTTTAGTTTACTTTCTCATTGCTTTTGTATGTAAGACATGCTGCCTACAATGCTTCATAGTATTTGCTTCAAACCATTATATAATTTGATTAGACCATAGTGAATCAACCAACCCATCAAGGGTAAAATTGTCATTTAGTTAATTAAAAAGTATATGGATTACACATTTCTAAAACTGCTGTCTTTTTTCATTGTGGACTATATTTTGGGACGGAAGGTTTGTGCAAATTATGGTAGTCTTTTGGGCCAAAGCCTTGAATTGAGGTTTCGTCTTTGTGTTTAGCAGGCAGCTAGGGAAGAAGCCTGGTCTAAGGTTTCCGCTCTTGAACTTGAAATTAATGCTGCAATGCGGGATCTTGAATATGAAAAACGTAGGCTCAAAGCTGCCAGGGAAAGGATAATGCTTCGGTAAGAATTCTAAACTCTGATTGTAATGCAATTTTGTCATTTTACTGAATATTATGAACTTTTGAGTTTCATAGTAGTATTCTGTCGTAAGCTTTGCATGACATGAAGTAAACTATCCGCCTTTTTTGGTATAAGAAATTTGGGTTCATTTACGTCCATCCAACGAAAATAGTAACCTCTTGCGAGATGCATAACTTAGGGAAGGTTTGATCATTTAATTGGTTACCCACACTAAACCAACCAAACGAACCCAATACTTCTGACCGTTAGATGGGGTAGTGGTCAGGTCTTACTACATCTTACCATCCTCAGACCCCAGGTTCAGGTGCGATATACTGGGTTCGTTGGTTCGATTTAGTTCTTATGTAAAATTGTAAATAGTTCTCCCATTATGGGGCTTTAATCCTTTTTGGGTTTGTTCTTAGATCAGGCCTTTGGTTGTTTATATTACAAGGTTTGTATGTAGGGAAACTCAGCTCCGGGCCTTCTATTCAACAACGGAGGAGATCTCTAGTTTATTTGCAAAGCAGCAGGAACAGTTAAAGTCTATGCAAAGGACACTAGAAGATGAAGAAAATTATGAGAATATATCAGTCGATATTAATCCTAATACCGATAATGGCAATCATATTGGTTCTCTCCACCAAACCAAAGAACCAATTGGCTCTCAATGCAGTGGCGGCGTAAAGGCATCCGAATCAACCACTTCCACCAAGCCGCAAGGCGAAAATCAAGCGGAAACATCAAGTGACGAAGCCAGCGTGACCGAGAAACACGACTGTGATGTCCGGAATCAAGAAACTTGCGAAGAAACACAGGAAGCGGAATTCGGAAGTTTCGATCCAGGTGCTAAAGGTGCGTTTGGATCTGATATCGAGGGCGTGAATACCGCACCGATTGGAACCGAACAAGTTCTCGAGACTGAAACGCAGGGACTTGATCAGAATATTGATTTGAATAAATTAGCTGGTGATACAATGATGATTGATGATGGTGGTGAAAGGGTTAAAATCGATGGCAGTGAGAATTTGCACCAACCGAAAGACCCAATTGAAGAAGATACTGAAGCTGGAGATACCATCAGAACGGGAGATCTTTTGGCATCGGAGGTTGCAGGGAGTTGGGCTTGCAGCACGGCTCCTTCGTGCCATGGAGAGAATGAATCTCCGGGAAGTGGCGGTGGCTATGATAAGGGTACACGCGGTGGTGGCAGCGGTGGTGGAATGTTACACGATTCTGCTAGTATTGCTGCTGAGAGCCAAACTGGTGTCGGAAGGAACCCAGAGCATGAAGCGCTTACGAAAATGATCGGGATCGTTGCTCCGGAATTGAAGGACCGGTTTTGTGGCACTATAGGGAGTGATAGCGAGAAAGGGGTTGCATCGAACTCGGATACGGAAGATTGCACTGATGACGATGGCGGTGAATCCGATACCGAGACCCGGGGTCATGATCGTCCATCGAATAATGATCATAAAGCTGTTGATGCGATGGACGAGGATGATGACGATGATGAGGAAGCAACCCAGCAAGATTCTGGGTAAAACTGCATCAATGGATTCATGTAAAGGTACATATTTACTTTAATTTATATTTAGTGTAACAAAAATCAAAGTTCCAAAATTTAATATTTAATCTAACAAAATTCAGTTTATTTTTATGTTGTTCCATATTTTGACTGGTAACCTGTTTGATCTTGTAACATTTGATAACGTGGATGTCAACTATATTTTCCATCGTAACTCTTTCGTAAATTTTTTACGGTTATCACCGTCAGATTAGCAGTTTACTGGTTAAAATGGGTGCAAAATCGGAAATTTTGAAATTTCACTCATTTTGACTGTTAACCTGTTGATCTTGTAACATAGATGACGTGGATGTCCAGTTTATTGTCCATCGTAACTCTTTTGTAAATGGTTATTGTCCCTGTCATATAGTCATATTAGCAGGTTACGGTCAAAATGGGTGCAAAATAGGAAATTTTGTAATTTTACTCATTTTCAACAGTGTTGGTCTTGTAACGTTTGATGACGGGGATGTCAAGATTATTGTCCATTGTAACTATTTCGTAAAGCTTTTGTAAATGATTATCCACGTCATATTAGCAGGTTACCGGTTTAAATGGGTGCAAAATAGGAAATTCTGAAATTTCTCATTTTTGACGGCAACCTGTTGATCTTGTAACATCTGATGACATGGATGTCAAGTTTATTGTCCATTGTAACTATTTCGTAAACCTTTTGTAAACGATTATCCACGTCATATTAGCAGGTTATCAATCAAAACAGGTAAATTTTTTTACTCATTTTGACCGATAACTTGTTGATCTTGTAACATTTGATTACAAAAATGTCAAGTTTATTGTCCATTGTAATTATTTTGTAGACCTTTTGTAAAAGGTTCTCTACTTCATATCTGCACGTTACCGGTTAAAATGGGTACACAAAAGTTTTACCCATATTGACCCGTGATTTGATGATCTTGTAATTTGATGACGTGGATGTCTAGTTTACCATCGCTTCATTGTAACCCTTACGTAAGTAGACATCCACGTCACTAAATGTTACAAGATGAGCAGGTTATCGGTCAAAATAAGTACAAAATAGAAAACAGAAACTTCGAACATAATATTTGTACACTAAACTGGGACTAAACCAAATCTCTGTTACATTTTGAAGCATTTTGTAATGTAAACCCTGTGACCGAACTGAATCATGTGGCATGGTTCGCTTTGAAGGTTTTTGTGGTCGATTTGGTTACGGAAGTGGGAACCGGTTGAGTGATTTGATCCGTGATGCTAGCGAAAATTTGAGCCAAACCGAACCGAAACGGACTGCTGGGTCAAGATGCTGGTCATCTGTGGTGTAATTAATGTAACGAATCGACCAAAGATCAGGGGGTTCATGGTATTTATTTAGAAGTTTGATTTTGTAGCCTTTTAGATTTGAAATATTCACTTTACACCCCGTGTTTTGTGATTATTCTTTGTATGCTTGTAAATATGGAGGTTAGAGAAATTTTATTTTTAAGAAATATTACATTAGTTTTTTTCTCGATAACATACGGAAATCTTCCGATGCACGATTCACGTATAAAACGGAAAACAACGATGAAATTCGTTTGTTTTTTGTTTGGTTTTTAACTGGTAAGCTACATATGCATGCATCTTTGTTCGTACTCGATGTTATCCAACCTGCAAACATTTTTCGATATCTTATGCTTATACGAGATAAGATGAGGTGGAACTTCGTTAATTATAGATACAATTGAAATAGAATCAAGCAACTAAAACGGTAGATGTAAATCGTATGAAGTGTTATCATCTCGTTCTTAAAACAGATCTATAGTATAGCATGTAAGGTAAAACGTATGCAAACCTGATTATTGCTTAATAGAACGGTTGTACAAAGACTAGCTAGTACATGGTGAAGATAGGAAGAAAAAAGAGTAGGTAAATTAATAAGGGTAAATTGCATGAAAAAAGTAACGTACTTTAACTTAATTCTTATTTTGAGTAATGTATTTTCAAAACTTCTAACTGGATGAAGCATAAACCAGTTACCATGCTGATGTGGCGAGTGATGAGATGAAATTGGGTTGAATAACAAATAATACTGAGTTAGATACCACATTGCTTGCCACATCAGCATGATAACCGGTTAATGTTTCAACCGGTTATCCGGATACTTAAATGTTTAAAATTTTACATTTCAGGTACCAAAATGAAAGTTTTGGAAGTACATTAACGAAAATATGAATCAAATTAAAATACATTATTTTTTCATACAATTTATCCATTATCCAATTAATAAAGGTAGGGAAAAACACATGTATAGCAAGGAGGACCACTAAGAGTAGAGTACTTCAAAAGCATATCCCTAGTCTAAACTACCACCCTTCCCCAATACGTCCATGTCTCTTATGTCCAACTACAATAGTTACAACCTCTTGAGATGTGACGTACTGGTTAAAAGCTAGGAAAATACAGTAAAAATCTCATATTTTCTTGTTCGAATCTAGGTGTTGGCAGAACTCTTGTGGTCATGGAGGTCCATCTGTGATGACTTCAAAGAATCGTTATTGCTTAGGGGATTGCTCAGGGTACAAAACTGGCCTGGGTACTCGGTTACTGAAAAATCACGCTGACTACAGATCTTCAAATCTAGTATGCCAATGGTGACCCATTATTTTTGCTAACATGTGTACCTTTAAAGTGGATCAAAGGTACACAAAGTCGTCTGATGTGTTTTTAACTGAATTCCACTGTTTCAAGTGAACATTCAAGTTCTTTTTGTTGATTTTTTTGTGGGATTTCTTTCATGATTTCACTTGATGTTCTTTGTATTTTCTAATATCTCAAAATACCCCTTTAACGATTAGTAGATGTAGCTTTAGTAGGTCCGCACCAGTAATATGCTACCTTAATTTTTAGGGGCCTTTACTCAAAAACTTACACGGTAAGAATCAACGCTCTTACCTTACCGGGAGAAGATTCTAGTCCATCAAACGATATTGTATGCAACAATTTACTCGGTAAACACTAACCAAGTAAAAGCAATCACTCCTATTTATTGGGTAAAACTCTAAGTCCTTACCATCGCTCTTACCGAATAAGATTTTCGGTTCTTGGTTTGTTAATCCAGTAAGCTAAGTGACTTAGTAAACGATTCGTTAACAACACCTTAACTTATATAAGATAAATTTGGTAAATTAAGGGGTGTTTGGGATTGTTTATTAAAAACAACTTATGTTTTTATTTTTATTTATAAAAATGCTTATCAACTTATATGATGTTAAATCATAGCTTTATAAAAAGTGTTTCGATTAGCTTATGGCGGTACCAAAACGTAATAAGTAAGTAACAAGTGTTTGGATTAGCTTATACATGTAAAAATTCCTCGTTATTAATAACACACTAAAATAAGTTAATAAGTTAAAAGATAGTAACTTATCAAAAACACCTTATTACCGATGCTAAACCGGTATCCAAACACTAAAAACTTCTTATTACAATTATCATCCTGAAATAAGTTAAAAAACACTTTAAGGGGGGTGTTTGGGATTGCTTATTTTAGGTGTTTTTTTGACTTATTTCAGTCTGACACCGATGATAAGCTAAATGCTAGTGTTTGGATGAGGAAAAATAAAACTGCTTATAMCGGTGCCAAACCGGCAATAAGCAGTTTTTGATAAGTTAATCCTTCATGACTTATGAAAAACTGCTTATTACCAGTTTAGCCCTGTTTTATTAATGTTTTTTAATTATTAATCTTATTGATATAAATTATTAATCTTATTGACATAAATTTTTGTCAAAGATATTATTATAAATGATGAAAAATAAATTTTTATATGTTAAAAAATCAAATAAGTTAATAAGTAATCCCAAACACTCCCGTAAGTCAATAATATGAAAGATTGTCCTTTTTGATCATTTTACATATATATAAGCAAAATTTACCAAATACTAAAAAATAACTTATCAGATTATTACTTTTTGGTACCGTTATAAACTAATACAAACATTTTTTACAAAACTCTGGTTTAATTCCACATAAATTAATAAACACTTATAAATTTTTTTTATTTTAAATAAGTAATTCCAAACCCTCCAAAGTAAGGTTTTTAAAATTAGCCATGCGATTTTTGTAGTAATTAAAAAAAACCCACGAAAATAAGGTGAGCATGTTATGTCTTTTTCACCGACTTACCATTAAACCAGTAGACTGCCTTCCTTCAAAGTTTAAACACCATCATGTACTGATTGTCTCATTAATTTCCCCCTTTTCTTCTCATCCACCGCAAAACTGGGTCCCGATTCTCCCCCTTTTTGTTTGAATTCCCGTACACAAGCATCAACGCTCTCTAGATAAAAGTGGTAACAGTGAAATCTTCAAAGTTTTCAGTATTTTCTGTGGTAATTTCATGAAGGTTTCTATGAATTAATCGCCGTCGACAGCGGTGGTGGTGTTGGATTTGAAGTTAGAGTGATGGCTTCGTTTAGAAATGGAAGGGGGACGGTGAAGGTGGAACGTGTTCAACCGACTGTTTCAGCGAATCTAAGACCACCGGCTTTCAAATCGAAGAATTCTAATGTACGACGTAGCAGTTCCGGTGCTGGTCTTAAGGATTTCGATGATTCTGGTGAGTTTTTAGAGTTCGTTTAACTTATTGTGATAACTTTGGTTTGGTTTTGGTTTTGGTTTTCGTGAATGCTGATGTTTTACACGATGATTTGATGTTCAGACGTTTGTTTTTAGATTTGCTTTAGTTCGATTTTGCTAAGCGGTTGTGATTATGTTTTAGAGTGAGATCGATGAACTGTTTGAGTAGGTAATGACTCGGTACGTTGTTGAAGAATCAGTGAGGTATCAATGTGTATAGCATATTAGATAATTGCTTAGCAGCATTGTAGTATTAGGACAATTAGCAGGCCTAGTAGCATTAAGTCACTTATTTACCTCTGTCCTTGGTTGGCATTGGTGCACTTATTAGCTAAGTTATTGGTTATCAGTTGTGAGACTGATGGAGCAGATTTGCTTCTGAAGAATGATTCCACTTCTGAGAAATAATTTTGTGTTATGATCACTGAAGTGTTATTTTAGTAGCACTGTGAAACTTTGTTGAAGCTGTTGCTAGTTAGGTATAGTAGCCATGATAATATTAATATACTGCATCCATGGTGAACTGAAGTTCTATATCTACCATTACTGGAAAGTCCAGGAGTCAAGGAAAATAACGACCTTTTCCCAAGATCAAAGCAAAAGGTTGTGTACAAGGATTTCCAGCTTAAACTCACAGCATTGGATGTAGGCCTACTGTCTCATGGGTGTAGGGATACCTTCAGATTTTCCTGGATAGAAACTGGGTAGCCTAGGCGTGTGGCTACTCTCTCATGGGTGTAGCGCTAGTTGTCTTCAGAACTGTTGGACAGAAGCTTGGGCAGCCTTGGCCATTGGGTACTCCTTGCAGTTGCAGGCATAGGGTTGCACTTGATTTTCAAACTAATTTTTTGATCAAAGTGGGTGCTTGGATGCAAGACATTTTCACAAATAATTGTGCCTTACAGGCTACACCTCCTTAATGATAATTTGCCATTTTGATCGAGATTATGCTATTTTCATTTCTGGCCAATAATATTTGTGGTTTTACATGTGAGATGCAGCTATTACCAATCTCTTGTTGAACTTCTTTCAAGTAGGAAAACATAAACTGAAAGCAAAATAATACACACATGGTATTTGCAACCAGTTTGAGATGAAATTCTGCGATGATTTTGTTGATTAAAATCTGGTTAATTGTTTCGCTGTTTGCATCTTAACATTACAGCAATATACTCTCTTTGCAGCAATATACTCTCTTTCTATCATACACAAACAATGTGAATCAGTATTCTGAACATTGTACTCGTAGTTTTGTTGCAAACTCATCATTGTACTTGCTGATTTGCAAAAAGGAAAAAAAGGATTCATGATTTTAGACATTTCCAGTGCTTTTTCTCCAACGAAATTACAAGTACGATGGTTAAATTTGTTCACTCTAACATACATGGTGTTTTCTTGCATTTTAGCGAACATAATGGTTAGTTAGCAAGGAAACTACAATGCCATGGTTAGGAAACTCAATTCTCTTCGGAAACAATGTGCTGAACAGAGTCTGAAGCTATTTGATGAATAAACAACACTATAGTTGAAACTGCAATAAGCTAAAACTTGGTATCATAGGAAGAAGAACATATAGTATGCCAAAAGTTTTAATGATCCAATTTGATTATTCATCTTACTTTTTAGATGATTTTGAATAGTGACCGGAATTTGAGATTTTTACCTTAGCTTGTAATGCATGTCAGGGTCTATAGAGGACGACTTTCTACACTTATGCAATTAAGCTCCGGTGGTGGAGGAGTATTTATTTCCAACCACCAACAATTCAACTTCAACAAGCCTTTTATCCCGACCTACTTGGGGCAGGCTAACCCACCAACAACAAAATTGTAAAAACTAATGTCTTGATTTGGCGTTGCAGTCTCTGGTCGAGTTCGAGTTGCTGTTAGATTGAGACCTCAAAATGCTGAGGAGATGGTGGCAGATGCTGATTTCGCCGATTGTGTGGAATTGCAACCAGAGGTGTGAGAGTTGTACTTATTACATTTTAGGATCGGAGGAACATCTAACTATATTCTCTCAATTAGAGTTTCGCCAATTATGTGATTACTTATGGTGGCACATTTTGATCTATCTCAGTTTAAACGGTTGAAACTTCGAAAGAACAATTGGGATTCTGATACCTATGAATTCGATGATGTGCTCACTGAGTCTGCATCACAGAAGCGTGTTTATGAAGTTGTTGCGAAACCTGTAGTGGAGGTGGGTGATGTAACCCTACTTTTTCCTATTCAAAGTCAAGTTTCAATGGCAAAGCTTGCACTTGAACTGCTAGTATATAATTACTTTTATATTATTGGTTATCAGTTATGGGATCAATCACTTATAATTACCTTTATATTATTTCATATACGCAATAAATTCTTACTACTTTCATGTTACTGTCTGACACTGATCTTCAACTGTATTTAAAGACCAAGAGTGCAAGTGTGGGAAGTAATTCAGTTGTTTATGAGTTTGAAAGACGTAAGAACCAATGTTGTTATTTATTTTCTCACTTCAAATAAGAGGAAGGTAGCAACATCAGCATTGTGGTGAGGTAAAATTGGATGGATAGGTTTTGAAACTGTAGCGGGTTGGTAGAAAATCACTTCCAATACAAAAAGAATTAATGTTTGCTAGATTGGAGAGAAAAGTTTCTTATCTCTGTGATTTAAGTGTTCACTTCAAATGTAAATTCAATCATTTCCATATATCTTCATTTATGATATGTTTTTTGTTTTGTTTTGTAAAGAATAACCTGGTAGGAGACATCTACAAGTTTTTAAGTCTACAACATTTATTCCTGGAGGACTAAGAGGATCTTAATTGTCATCATTATTAGGGATAAGAAGAAATCTACATCAACCACTAACGTTACCATCAAGTGCACCATTTTCTTTTGTTTTAAAGAAATAGTGTCATTACCAGGAGGGAAAATGTGCATTCTAACGTGTTTATTCTATAGAAAACCATAGTGGTGAAAAATTGGCGGTTGCTAGATTTGCCTGAGGGATAAATAGTCTTTCTAGCAACTTATCCAGCACATGTCTTGAATTCTTTTGACTATATTGTAGCAAATATACCATCAATGATCTTGAGCCCCCTGAACATTTCAGATTTGATGATACTTCTATCTACATATTAGAGTAGGTAAAATTCTCAATGAACGTGTTGATGTAAACTAATCACTTTCTCATGGTTGGAAATACAGAAAGAGAGAGAGAGAGAGAGAGAGAGAGCGAGGTGTGGGACTCTGGGTGGGTAGATCTTCATAGTATGATAAACTTCTGTAAGTAAGACAGCTGTAGGTATCTATCACTGTTCTATCATGCAGCTCTTGTATGTTAAAACTTGAACCTTTAGTAACTGATACGCCTCATGCATTTCAGAGTGTTCTAGATGGTTACAATGGGACAGTTATGGCTTATGGTCAAACCGGCACAGGGAAGACTTTTACTTTAGGACGATTGGGTGATGAAGATACATCAGCTCGTGGAATCATGGTCCGTGCAATGGAGGATATACTAGCTAATATATGCCGGGATTCTGATTCTGTCATGATCTCATACTTGCAGGTGCTTACATCCTTGCACATATATCGATTCTTGCGTGCAATTAATTGCCTACCGATTGAAACATTAAAAAAATGAGATTTAGGTTTCTACCTTTGATAGAACTTTTTGTTGAAATATCTGCAGCTTTACATGGAGACAATCCAAGACCTCCTAAATCCAACAAATGATAACATTTCAATTGTTGAAGATCCAAAAACTGGTGATGTTTCTGTACCAGCTGCAACTCTGGTAGATATACGAAGCCACCAGGATTTTATGGAGTTACTGCGGCTGGGGGAAGCTCATAGAGTCGCTGCTAACACGAAACTCAATACCGAGTCTTCTCGTAGTCATGCCATCCTCATGGTAAATGACTGAGCTGTGGTTTGTAGTTTCATGTGCCTACTCATTATGTGATTGTACCATCCATAACGAATTCGATAAATATTGCTTGCCAATTCTATACATTACTTCAGGTGCACATCAAGAGGTCTGTTACAGATATGGAGTCTGAAATCTCAAGCGAAAATGACCACACTCTTCACATGAGCAATACTTCTAAGCCACCTATTATTCGAAAAGGCAAATTAGTCGTTGTAGATCTTGCAGGCTCTGAGCGCGTTCACAAGTCAGGTGTGTATGCATAAAACTTTATGATGCATATTACTTGTCTTCTTGGATTCATATCTTCCGGAGGGAAGTTATTTTGACACCAAAGGCATATGACCTTTAATTTATATGTTCCCTGTTACTAATATGTGCTTCTAGATATCTCGTTGCCTTTCTAGGCAACATGTCCTAAAATCTATTGTAATGAGATCTCGTTGATTAATAGCAGTTTGTTTGAATCACTATCTCGTATGTAACGGTAAGATGCATCAAATAATGGCTTACTTTTTGATAGAGACATTTTGTAGTAGCATAGAGGAAGAGTATCGCTTCATGTGCTTCATTTTGGGAAGGGCCAGGGGGTATTGTCTTGGGCAGATGTATGGTGCAGACGTGTGCTTGACTTTATGTAGCTAATATATTAAGTCAGCTACCAAAGGGCCTTTGGCCTAGCGGTAACCTCACCAAAAGTGAGGAGGTGTGTGAGTTTATTTGTTGCATTTGCATATATAAATATTGTATACTTCAAAAAAAAAAAAAATAGGTCTGCTGGTTGGGGGTTCTTATCTTGATAGCTGCTGATTTTGTAATTATACAATTTCCTTTATCTCATTAACGAGACCATAAGTTAACATATCTTGCATCCACCAAGATTCTGTTTAATGCACAAACTAATATAGCGTGGTAGTTATCGTTCTGGTTTAAGAATCACATCCCTAATACTCTTCTTATGGTGATGATATTCTCAGCAAAAACTGCCAATCTAATTCACAAACTATATGCGTTCTGCATGTGCAGTTTCTATGCCTTTATTGGAAGTATGCTGTAGTTTCTCTATGAGTAATGCTGCCACAATGGTGCATCTGCCTGCTATGTAACTGAATATGTATGTGTATTCTTGATGCATTTGGTCAGAAGATACTCTGGCCATCGTTGGGAGTTTGAAATAATGTCTTGAACTATGTTTTCTGGAATAGTTGTTCATGGAAACTTTATTGGTTGACTGCTAGGTTTTTCTCATTATCAGCACCTGATGTTATATAGTTTTGATTTCCTACTTTGGGGGTTTTTTTTTCCTTCAGGCAGCGAGGGACACACATTAGAGGAAGCCAAGTCTATAAATCTTTCATTAAGTGCGTTAGGGAAGTGCATAAATGCTCTTGCAGAGAATAGCGCTCATGTACCTGTTAGAGATTCTAAGCTGACAAGGCTACTTAAAGATTCATTTGGAGGCCAGTTCTTCTGAATATGAGCAACTTATTTATTACTCTTTTTACTATGTCTTTGATTCTTTTAAACAAATTCACAACCCTGAGCAATACAAGCGTCGTGTTGCTAGGTGAAGTAGTAGAATGCTGCACCACTGCCTATGAGTGGCCGGCTCATTCTTCAGAGATGGTGGCATTATGTTTGACATGATCCTGAACTGCTTGTACTATTCTATTTGCAGGCACTGCAAGAACATCATTAATTGTAACTGTTGGCCCATCTCCACGCCATCGTGCAGAAACTGCAAGTACTATATTGTTTGGACAAAGGGTGAGCAACAAGCTTTTGAAGGCCTTATATTAAAAAAACAAACAGTTTTCCCTGTTTGCTCACTACTTTTTGCTTAAAGATGACCATTTGCTGAAACATTGGCTGATATCTATATAGTAGAATCATCATGCATCAGGTCCCAATTATTTCAAAAATGGTGTCCGAGTTTACATTTTCCCGTACTCTTCATTTTAGTTTTTTGGGTTATGCATATTTCTAATGGAGAGCCTTGGCCAAACCTACATGTACTCTGTCTCATTTGTGTCTGTTCACGTTTAAAGTTATAGAAGTAGCCTCTCTGGTGTAGAGTGTGTGGCTAAATGCATCAGACCCTAAAATGGTATCCTACAATAAGGGGATACTTTTGCATTGGCCCAGTTTTGTCTATTATAAATGTTCTGTAGGTGGGAGTTACTTTCTTTTTATCTCTAAAGTAAATAGTTAGTTTTGTCATTTTCAATCTACCCCAGGCTATGAAGGTGGAGAACATGTTGAAAATCAAGGAGGAATTTGATTACAAAAGTTTGTGTAAAAGGCTCGAGACACGGATTGACAAACTCATCGCAGAAAATGAAAGACAACAGAAAGCATTCGAGGATGAGATTGAGAGGACAACAATAGAAGCACAAAAGCGTGTTTCTGAGGCTGAAATTAATTATACAAAAGCTTTGGAGGTTAGCTTGGAGATGTGTGTTTATAATCAACTTTTTCCTCGCAATAAATTCAATTGTACCTTCAAATAGTGGTATAAATAAATATGCTTCATTCAGAAGTGAAGAGTTCTGTTGAAAACTCAGTGCCCCTAGTGATGTGGGTCTATTACACCAACACTTCATCTGTTTTGTCTGTTACTTTCTCCAAGCATTCTGGCTACCCCTAAAATGTTGTATGTTGTTGTAGAGGGAGAAAATGAAATGTCAAATGGACTACATGGAATCAATTAAGAAGCTTGAGGAGAAGTGGATGACCAATCAACCAAAACATAGAACTAATGGCTTGGTTAATGGCAGTCATGGTGGAGAGGTAATCATAATCTGATTTAATGTATCAACATGTTTGTTCTCTCTCTTTTCTTCCAACAATTCGCAAGAGATGGTAATCAATTTGAATATTAACTAACCTAAGAGGATTTAATCTCATAGCAATGCAGTTCTGATAAGTTCAGGATCCATAGAATCATAGTTCTACAGAACTCAAGTTCCATGCATTCCAATGGACCTCAAATTTTAGTGTTTTATGCGTGTGAAGGATGATATGCTACTCCATTGAGAAGAGTATGATTGCTTCTTGGTGTCAATCACATTATATTTTGATTAGAAATCTACTTTTGGTCCTCCATTACTAACTGAGATCGTGTTATTTTTTGACTTGGAATAAGTTTAATGGAGGATTTTGTGTTGGTATTGAATTGCTGTTTCTATTTATGCTCGTTTATCACCAAATTGATTACATGTTAATAATACTGTTTTTGTTGTTTGTTGTTCTTGTTGCATGGAGTAAACAATCAGTATATAGTACATGTACATGGTTTTGTTGATGTCACCACTCACCACAGCACTTGAGGGCACATTATGTATGTTCATCTTCTGTTTCTAGTACCTGATTTTTCTTCTGCAAGAAAGGTTAGGGATCTGTTACTTGAGAATTAAACTGAGACGAAGGAAGAGGGGGAAGAAGGTTATTCATATAAGCTATTGCAACATGCGTTTGCAGATAATCCTCTTTTCTCCTTTATTTCTTCAATACATTCTCAGAAGAAGCTCTTCAACTATTTATTATCTGGAATTAATATCTATTGGAATTATAGTCATAGCTGCTGATTTTGAGTTGTATGATCCTGATTTGATGCCTTGTTGTAATCATGTGCCCCATGTTTTCACCTTATTTGTGTGCACTCTTCTGGTCACTTCCATAGTAGGCTGGTTTACTAGCTTTTCCATAAAACCCATCATTTTTCATCACAATATTCTTTCATCACCTTCACCCTCTATAAAAACCAGGGTAACAATCAAGTCAATGAAGATGCTACAGAGTTAAAGAAAATGCTTCAGAAGGAAATTACCTTAAGGAAACGGGCTGAAGAAGAGATCCACAACCTTAGGAATTCACAACTTCTCCCTATAGAGGTTTGGATTTTCTGATATCTAACTAGGATAAGCATTATCTGCATCTCATATTATCTTCAAATTCTGTTTACTGGAATAGGTATTACATCACATATTATCCTCATGGACTAGGCAGGTGTAAATGCTGATATCATAAAGCTTCAGAATTTACTGGATGATGAGACTCGTCAGAAACATAAACTAGAAGAGGAAGTTTTGCTGTTACAAAGCAGATTGTCACAGCTGACTTTCAGTTCTAGTCAGGTAAGTGGCTACTGGCTATACCGAGGAAACATGCTTTTTATACACGTTAAAATATCGATAATCCTTTCAGATTATATGTCACGGTGAATCTACTTCTCATAAATGGGGGCATTACTAATGAGGGGAATGTTGGGGATGACTTCTAATATTATATGGAAAGTGTTACTATTTTCCTTGAGTAGCGTGTATATGAACAAGGTGTCTATTTGAAGTTGGCTGGAGTGCAAGCTTATTTATCTGTGTGCATATATAGACACATGATCATTCCCATCTTGGACTTTGCTAGATCTAAGGCATTCAAACACAATCATTCCATTTTGGACTCGTATACACTGTATGACCCAAATGTTACACACTGAAGAGTTCTAAAAGGCTTGGGATATCATCTCTAAATCGACTGAAAGGAATATCATCTGATATATCTTTTCAACTTTATATTGCCTTCCCTTCAACTACAGATTATAACAGGGGTATACACCTGGAAACACACTACAACCCATTCATGTAACCATGATCATTCCATCTTGGACTTTTCTATACCCACATGTCTCATGCTCTGAAGTTCTGGAATGATAGGATATATTATTTATTCTATGGCACAACCTTTTGAAAGGCTTTTATGTAGTTCCTCATACCTTTAATATATTGCATTGTACTTATTTCTTTTTATGCTATATACAATGAACTAGTCTTACTTTTTCTTTAGAAAAAAATTGTCGTTCCAATTTCCTTTTAACTTTTTCCTAACTTCTAGAAGCTCTTAGGTCAAATTTTTTTTACACACACCTTTTCCTAACCCAGGGGTCCTCACGAAAATAGCCGCTCTACTTTTTGGGGTAGAGGACATGATTACTTACATCTCCCCCAAGACCTTACCTCCGAGAGGAATATGTTGGGCTCGTTTAGTTTTTAATCTGTTTACTTAGGAACAACTCTGAAACATAAATACTTTGAAATAGCATTTAGCAGGTGTGCAGCAATCATTTGTTATTGCTGAACCCTGCCTTATTCTCCCGATATCGGAAATAGCAGCTGCAAATGGTAGTATTGTTCTACAGATGAGTGTTTCTAACATCAAAGCATCTCTACAAGAGCAGTCTTGGCCCTAAGGTGGAAAAAATGCATCCATAAAAAACGCTGGATGCATAAATCATCATACAGTTACAACGTATAGAGCATCAGTAGTAAGGGTAACACACAGATTTAGCTTTTCCTCTGTGTCTAGTACATCCACATTACATGGTGGCTGGTAGCCAATATAAGCATATTTAGGTATATCATCTGAATACCGCACTACTGGAAAGAAACTGCTTCATCGTGAGCTATAGTTGCTTTCCAGGTCAACCAGTACAAGTGGAGGCCTTCCATGTGTGAGTATTCAGATAATATTCTCTTGAGTGAGAAGAATGAATATCTATATTCTGTACTGTTAAAGTTGCAGATGGTCTATCACCAAAATCCATCATAGGGGTACTATTCAGGAAGAGCATTAAGTTAAATGCTGTCATCTTAAGACCTACCCATGCTGGATGCATCATAGATTACATCCTGTCTGAAGGACGCCACACCAAAGTAAAGCAACCTTTGGCCATTGCTGGTGGTCTGCTGAATATAAGTATTAGCTATTTTTCTTCAGGTTTAAAACTAAGCCAAGGACTTGTACAAATGGTGATGTAAGAATGTGTAACTTCCAATGATGCCTTTCTCCTAACCCTTGATGAACATTTCTTCCCTAGGGGTTTAAAGCGTCAGTTTTATTCAGTTATGCTTTGATGTCTAATGTGATACGGAGGGAATCTGTCTTTTCAAGCAATGCCCTGTATGTTCTGTATCTGTACCACCCATGGATACTCTCCATGTACGATGATACTCTGAGAATTTTTGTGGGGAAATACAAATAATCGTCATTCAGATGTGTATGATCTCTGTATGTGTGTGTATATATCTATGTGAGTGTGAACTCGGTTCATGGGTCAAAGACATCGCCTTTCTTGAGGTACATACCAGGAACATTCGAGATTCTGAAGGATTACACAGGAAAGATTTTTTTTGCCTCTTATCCCTAGGAGGTCTTCCATCCTGGTCAGAGAATTGTCTCAAGAGAACCCCGCTAAGTTTTTATTTTTGCCCCAATTACAAGAAAAACATCAAGGAAGAGAAGACGGGGAGTCTATTGTATTTAGATTCCATGATTCCAACATCTTGGGACTTATAGTTTTTCTGGGTGCCCCGAAATTCTACAAGGTGTTGAGAAAAAGTTTAAAGTAGCTGAATTTAGGATTGGCATGATGACAAAATTTCGTTGATCCATACATGTATCTTTTACTTGATCAATGGTAGGATCCTACAACTATCAATAAAACATAACATCACAATTATCTTTTATAATCAAAGAGCTGATGACAGCATATTTAGCAGGGATGTTTAGCGCTTTGGTTTCCAAATAACAAAAATCAGCATTTTCTTCACAGTTTTTTTATTTTATTCAATAACAGTGCCATGTATAATGAAAAATGCTAGATCAGATGAGTTTTTACTTGCTACAAAAAGCAATCATATGCCTTATCCAACCAATTTCAGATTTGAAGCCTGTTCCTATTTTCACTTCCAGATACAACAGAAAAAGTTGGTTAGACATTGGTTGGCATTGTCATATAGGTCATCTTATACCATTGAATATTTGAATGTTTATTTGAGCTTTTAAGATCAGCATTGCTTTAAGATTCCCCATGTTGACATCTGCAATCTTCTCTAGTCTTCACTCTACAGGCTGTTTTTGTTTTATAGCATAAGGGGATGTGAAATAAAGAGAATTCCTTTCTTAGAATTATATTGGATTCTACCTAATTTCTTATTCTTCCACTCTCAATTTTTCATTGTTTCAGCCTAGATATTCACAACTTGACGATCAAGGCAATGGAGAAAGAACATCGATAACGAATCTTCATGAACATGGTATGCAGGATTTGCACTTGTTGCTTCAAAAAACTGGCTTACGTTTCTCTAACTTTGTTCTCTCTTTCGAATATTACAGTTGGATTGCAAAAGATCTTGTCTTTGCTAGAGTCAGAAGATGCTAATGTACGTTTGCATGCAGTGAAGGTGGTGGCCAACCTAGCAGCTGAAGGTAATTTTTTCCTGAAACCTTCTTATCAAACATACATCTTCTAATTATTACATAGGCAACATAAAGTTCTTGCACTTCCATTTTAAGGTTATTCTAGAGTTCAAAATGTTGTTTTATACAGTCAGCTGGTTACTTTGTTATGAATCAGGTGACACTGATTGTCTATCATTTTGTTTCACCTGACATGTACAAATAAGTGGCTAAATATGGAGTGCTGATACCAATTAAGAAGGTTCCACCTGAATCTATTTGAAATGTTGAACGCAACCGAGTTTTCTTGATGTAGGTCTGAAGGGTAAAATGGAAAAAGAAGTGCATGATGTATGATGTTTCTGATCATCGTCATTGCATTATTACATTGCTTCAAATGAATTATTTGTTGTAGGTTATATATCTACACAGTACTTTCGGAACTATGATCAAGCACGTTCAAACAACAGATTCAAGTGTAAATTCAATTGCTTATATCTAAAGTTTTATAAAATTCGAGCTATGTAATGTGATATGCAGATACAAATCAGGAAAGAATAGTTGAAGCTGGTGGTCTCTCATCACTACTGGCGCTCCTTAGAAGTAGAAGCTTTGACGAAACCATTTGCAGAATAGCAGCTGGTGCTATTGCAAATCTTGCAATGAATGGTCTCTCTTCTTTTTTTCTCTGTGCTATCAATCTATATATACACATACACAGGTTGGTTTAAATGGAAACAGCAAAAAGGTTGGAAAAGTGGAAACAGATCTCATTATGCCAAAACACGAGCATTTAATTATCTTTAATTAAAAAGTGGTTATAAATTTATTTTTAAAACGAAAAGAACCCTCCCCCTTTCCTTCTTAATCGAAAATAGGCGAAATATGATCAAAATTCGAGCCAAACAAATTATACCCAAAAAATGAGCATTTAATCATCTTTAATTTGACATCGATATTGTTATATTTTTTCATCCGTTTTTGTGTTTCCATGAATTCAATTTTTTTGCTGTTTCCATTTGAGCCCTCTCCCATACACATTGGTGCAAATATATATTAATTTATTCTGGTGGGCAGTTATTTGGTCTGAAGCCTGGAGAGATAGGGTGTGGTTGTTTATGTATACACTTGATTTCTTTTGACCATTTCCATAATGTTTATGGTAATCTTCATTTTTAATTTATGTGGTTAATGCAGAAGCTAATCAAGAACTTATAATGGCTCAAGGCGGAATTAGTCTGTTGGCAGTGACTGCAGCTGATGCTGAGGATCCACAGACTCTACGAATGGTAGCTGGAGCTATAGCCAATCTATGTGGAAACGGTAGTGCTAATGTTTTCTCACCTTCGTTATTATTGGTTTCTTCATTGGCTAACATAATTCACAAGATATTGCTACTGTAGACGTGACTCTGATTACCCTAACTTATTTCTTGCTCTATTCTAATTAAATATATCTATCTTAATTGGCGGTCTGATTACTTTGATGCATAATCCATGTAATCTAGTTAACAGTAAGAAACATTTAGTGTATATAGAATATGCTGCCCAAAGAAAATGCTAACAGGTATGAAATTTCCCCGAATTTAACTTTATATAAACCATCCTTCCATTACAAAGATAGATATGCATCATCATTGTGATTTCTAACCTACTACAAATTCTTATGACCCATGCTACAGTTTATATTGTAATATATTCCCTGCGTCCCAAAATAAATGCCCACAATAAAGAAGGCAACAGTTTTATATATATGTAATTATTACACTTCTTAATTTACTAAATGGCAGTTTTATCCTTAATAATTGAGGGAGTAATAAAGTTTCTTCATGATATATTACCAGAAGTCCGTCCTCTTTCCCAATTGAGGGAGTAATGAATTTATCCATTTTATAATTAAGAGCGGAATTCAAAGTAAGCACTTATTTTGGAAGTGTACACTTATTCTGGGACAGACTAAACTAGAAATGTGGACACTTGTATATATAGAGGGAGGATAAGTTGAGAATGCTAACTATTTAAGAGAATACGAGAACGGCCAAATAACGTGCAAAATCACATGTGATTTTACATTAACGGCCAAAAAGGTGTGCCGGCAACCCTATGGCAAAGTCGTGTGAATCACATGTGATTTTGTATTGTACATGATGTTAGTGTAAAATCACATGTGATTCAATCGCTATCTTATTCTCTTATATAGGTACGGTTTTTGTTTGAACCTGACTCTCTCTCTCTGTCTATATATATTTCTGAAGTTTAAGGTTCTTACCAACTCTATTATCTATAAAAAGGTTGGAATTTGAATAAAATTGGGAGTTGGTAAGTAACATGTCTGATTCATATAAGTTGAAACACTGGGATGTTTTGTTTGGTTATGTCATGCAACATAGTTAAACCTTCCTTCAGAAAGATATTTGCATCAAACTCTGTTTATGGAAAAGACAGTTCGAGTCAAAAATAGTTCTGAGAATGTAGAGATGCAATAACTATTTTTTACTCCCTCCATCCCAAAATAAATGTCCATATTTCTATTCTAGTTCGTCTCAAAACAAGTGCCCACTTTCAAAGCGAGCGTCTACTTTCCAATCCTACCCGTTTAATTATGAGATGGAGAAATTCATTATTCCCTCTATTATTAAGGGTAAAATCGTCATTTGGTTAGTGAAGAACTGTAATGTGTACACATTTCTAGAACTATGTACCTTTTTAATTCTGGACATTTTCGGGACGGAGGGAGTATATGCCAGGTGAAGCACAAACGTATGCAAACCTCATTTCTAATGTCCTTGATGTATTGAGTTGCTACTTTACAGATAAACTTCAAGCTCGGTTGCGATCTGAAGGTGGAATCAAGGCTTTGCTTGGAATGGTTAGGTCTAGACATCCAGACGTTCTTTCTCAAGTTGCACGTGGAGTTGCAAATTTTGCAAAATGCGAGTCACGAACTTCTAGCAAAGGCAAGTCCCTCATCAGCTGCTTGGTACTTTTTATTTGCAAATCCTTGATCATTAGATTGGCAAGATATACTCTCTTTGTCACATGAAATTTGCATGCATGACTTGGCACATTGTTCAAAGGAAAATGCTTGTCTATTTATCAAATTTCTAAAATACCCTTCAATAGAAACAGATAAAGGAGTCTCGTTACCCATCTCAATACTGTTAGTTTATCTGTGATGATGGACAAATATGCAATTTTAACTCGGATTCTTTCTAGAAGAGGAAATGTTGCAGTTTTCGTGTGATATTTCAGAAAGAAAAATGTTGTAATCCCTCCGTCATAAAACAAGTGCCCACGTTTCTATTTTAGTTTGTCCCAAAATAAGTGTCCACTTTCAAAATAAGGGCTACCTTTCCAATTCTACCTTGATTGTAAGATGGGGAAATCCGTTACTTCCTCTATTATTAAGGGTAAAATTGTAATTTAGTTAATTAAAGTGCAATAATTACACATTTCAAAAAACTCTGTGCCTTATTGATTGTGGGCATTTATTTTATGACACGAATGAAGTACTTAAAAAACCATCTTGTTAGATTTTTGGGTAATAGAACCGCTGTTTTGTATCTTTTTGCATTTCACATGTTTTAACTTGTTTGCTTCGGTTGTCTAACCATCCAACAAAGAAAGAATGAAAAAACTATTCAGACATATATATGCAGTTAAGACAAAGGAATGATCACTACTAACTTTGTATTTTGTGGGTTGTTTTCTTTTATTTATAATGTTGAAACCTATTGCATCATACTAAAAGTTCCACTGATTTTACTGTTCTAGGGAACAAAAATAGCCGGTCTCTATTGATAGAAGATGGGGCACTTCCTTGGATTGTGCAAAACGCCAACAACGATGCATCAATAATTAGACGCCACATTGAGCTTGCACTCTGCCATTTGGCACAACATGGTAAGTATATTTCTTACATCTGTTACATTACATTTTACTAGTGTTTTCTCATAGCGTAGAAAGTCATCCGATCCACTTAGAACCGACCAACTATAATTGGATTGGATCTAAAATTTCAACATTCAATTTGGATATGCCGGTTCTTGGATGGCAATCCAAAATCCAATAAAACTGAACTGGATCCAATCCAGTTATCATCCAAGTAATATATATATATATAATTAATAATATATCATGATATTGTTTTTAGTTGATATTTGTATGTAGTGTCGTTTAAGAAGTTAGGAAAATATATGAATTAATGGTTGAAATGGTGGGTTAATTGGTTGAAAATTGGATCAATATCTTCGATGTATCCAATCCTATCCAATGTATAAGCAATAGTATTATCCAATGGATGAACCCAATCAGATCTGATCATCCATTGGTTTGGATTGGGTCGGTTGTCCAATGTTAATTGGATTGGATCGTATTCGATCCGTCTAAATTCATTGGATTTCAACCGATGAACACCCCTAGATTCGCTTCAAGAAACAGAAAACGTAAGTGAAGATTGGATTAAAAAAGCAAAAGGGATAATGGCATAATGAAAATATATGCTTTTAAGTTACAAACTACGTATTTATAGAATGAAACAAATAAATATGGTTAGACAAACCTCTTAATTGCCTGAAAAAAAGCTATTGCTGCAATCTTAGACGATGCGAATAACTTGGATTTTTAACATTTATCTCAATGACCCGATCCTCTGACTATCTTGGTCAAGAAGGTCGGGAGTAATCCATCACTTTTTATCGTACTCCCTCCGTCCCAAAATAAATGTCCATGATGAAAAAGGCATACAGTTCTAAAAATGTATAATTATCACACTTTTAATTAACTAAATGTTGTTTTAGCTATATTTGTAGAGGGATGGCTGATCTAGAGTAGCTGGTATTTTGGTACGTTTAGATTGGACATGACAAAACAAAACCAAACTTGTCCCACATTCGTTGTGAAACTGGACCAAGTCGGACAAAAATGCATTTTTTTGTCTCATCAAAATAGGTGGAACAAAAATCAGGGAGATTCGACAAGATTGGTAAATTACTAAAGTACCCATGTCAACTTAAAATCTTACAACCTTACATATTCTCTTTTTTTTTTTCTGGGTAAAGGGGATGGAACCCGAGGAAAACATGAAATAAACCTTGCACAACTCTTTTACCTGCCGACCTCGCTCTTGTCGTCTTGTCCAGTCTGCGTACCACACCCTGAACAAACTGAAAATGACGAATCATTCCACCATCACAATGGCAAGCAGTAAATGTTCACGTTTTGTTCGTTTTTCTTCTCATTTTTCATTTGTAGGTTAATCCATTACCGTCACATCCTGAAAACGAAAAGCAAAATGAATATCGTTTTTTGCTTTAATTTTGTAACGAAAGTATTTCTGTTTGTTGGTCGTTGAGAAACTAACAGTATTTGTTCTAAATTTGCGGTCTCAGAAGTAAACGCAAAAGACATGGTGAGCGGAGGTGCCCTGTGGGAACTGGTTCGTATCTCGCGTGATTGTTCCCGAGATGACATACGTGCTCTTGCTTGCCGAACGTTGACTTCTAGTCAAATCTTCTCGTCCGAACTACGACGCTTACGAGTAGAGATCTAAATCAGCACATTGAATCAGGTCCGCAAACCACTTTCTTTGCTCAGTATTCTTAGAATGGCTTGTCTAACTTGCTCAATCTATGATCTGCTTTTGTTGTAGTTTAACAAAACGACCCACCATAATTTTGTTTGGCCATTCATTCCCACTTCATTGTGGTTGCCCCCGGTTTATAGAGAATAATAAATGTCGGTTTTTAGAAGATTCGTATGCGATTAATTGGTCCGTAAATGGTTGGATAAATCGTATTAAAATAAAACCAACTTAAAGCCGTTTATGAAACGCTTGCCGGGTCACGGTGTAAGTGCTTATTGGCAAAAGTGACCATCCTCACTTACGTTTAAAAAAAGATTTAAAGGAAATAAAGAAATTATATCCGGTCGAACGTAATCGGTTTCAGATAGATCTTTTTAAAACAGAGAAAATAAAAATTTTATCAGCTATTTTGCTTCATTAGATTCTTTATAAAGAAAACTTCACGTTTAAGGAATTTCTTCACATTCAATATTGAAGAAAGACAGAAATGATCGTTTAATTCTTTTTCATTAATGTCATTGAATATATTATTTTATTACTGGAAGGATACTTGTGCAATGCAACGAGATATATCTTAATTTTATTATTTTATTTTATTTTTTATCTCAGTCGATGTTGTAATATGGTCTTATGTGATTTTTAAAAAAATGATGATATTTTTATTTTTGAATAAAATATAAAAAATGAAGATATTAGTATCAAATTAACTATTTAATTTTTTTTTATTTTTTGTGTAATTTTTTAATTTAATTTTTTTATTATAATTTAATTTAGGTATAATAACGAAGTAATTTATATTTGGTTTAATAATATAATTTTTTCTAAAAAGATAATAATTAATTATTTTATTAGAATTTGATGTTATACTAATTATATTTTAGATTTTTTATATTTTAAAATGAGATGTTTATCATCTATTTGATTTTGTTTATCCACAGTTAGTTATACGAATTCAAACATCGAGCTTTAATAAGTTGTATTTATGCATAATTTACTTGTAATATTAAACTTTAAGTAATATGGATCAATATACAGCATTTTATGCATAAAAATTGATTTTTAAAAGTTTTTGTCAAATAGTTTATAATATAGTATAGATATAAAGTTTTTTTAAAGTTTATTAAAATGCTTTTATATTATATGTTAATAAAATAATTGATATTAAAATCTAGGGAAATTGAATTTAATTTTGCTTAATAATTTTAACTTCTAATTTTTAATTATAAAGAATTTGTTAAGTTACTCTAACCAATGATACTTGTTTTAATGAACAGACTTCTTAGGACCGCTCATGACAATGCCCAAAACATCTCTTGGGTCTAGCCGTCTAGGGCTAAGCTAACATGAACTCCTAAGAGCTCTCCAATAGCCCATGTGTTATAAAAATCATCCATATTTCTATAAACCGTGCTAACCACATTCATCCGTCATTGTTTAATTTTATGAAATTTTTTCATCAAATTGTTTTAGGGCAAATTGCATGAAAAAGTAACGTACTTTAACTTGATTCCTATTTTGGGTAACATACTTTCAAAACTTTCATTTTGGTATCTAAGATGTAAAGTTGTAAACATTTAAGTACCTGGGTAACTCGGAAAGACTAATTTTAAACTAAAAAAAAGACTAATTTTAGATTTTAAAAAATCCACGTCACTGACCACGTCAGCAAATAATACCGAGTTTGATACCACATCACTCGCCATATCAGCATGATAATCAGTTAATATTTCAACCAGTTACCCGAGTACTTAAATGTTTAAAACTTTACATCTTAGGTACCAAAATAAAAGTTTTGAAAGTACGTTACCCAAAATAGGAATCAAGTTAAAGTACATTACTTTTTCATGCAATTTGCTCTATCAATAGGTACCAAAATGAAAGTTTTGAAAGTACGTTACCCGAAATAGGAATCAAGTTAAAGTACGTTACTTTTTCATGCAATTTGCCCATTGTTTGTTTTATATAATATATTTTTTAATTAAATTGTTTCATATATGATTATAGAATTGTTTCATATAATACTTATGAAATTTTAAAGAAAATATTTCATATATTTCTCTAAAATTAATGTAATGAAGATGATAATATCCATGATTAACACCATCCACAATAAAAATGATTAATCAACCTTTCATAATTACAAAACAAATGAACAAGATGAAAAATTATGATTGGTTGAATGACGTTTGTACGATTTGTATAAATAACGTGGTTTGCAAAGTACACGTTTACTATATATATATATATATTAAATAGAATATTAAGAATTAAAATATTTAAAAAATATATATTCAACTTCAATACTTACTTTATTTTAGTAATTTTAACATTAACCACCCACACTAGTGAATAATGTGGGACAAGTTACTATTTCATTTCTCTGTCGTAGTGTAAAAAAAAATTAGGGTCATGTAGCTCTCAAAATAAATGTCTACAATGAAAAAAACATACACTTTTAGATGTGTGTAATTAATTAACAAAACGACATTATGAGAGAATGGAGTATAAGAAATTACGAACGAAATTACCCTATTGGATTGCAAAACCAATTCGTCCAAGAGAATGATCGACTGTTTCGACTTCATTCCCACATCAGGGACACAAGGAAGAGTGAAGATTAACACCAAAACGATGATCCAATACTGAACGAACCTGAATCTTGTCTTGCGTTGGTTGCCACACGAATATGCAGACGTTTTTTTTGGGCAAGCTTGCACCATTTAGTTTCGTCTTAAAAATTTGATGATAATACACGATTTAATTCCACAATGATTAATATAACACCCTTAATTTTGAATTAAACTGTTTAATCTGAAATACAGTCTATAATTGACGTGATTATGAAAATATGGATCACCTACATATGAAACAATAAAAATCTAGAAACCATTTTATCTATGCTGCTTTATTCGATAAAATAATTGGCACGTTGACTACCATCGTATTTTCTGCTATACAAAAAAAAAAAAAAAGGATTTTTGCAACATACTCTGCCATCGGTGACATTTGGTTCCAATGGCATCCCCCCAGAAAGCTATTGTCGTTGAAGTCGTGGGAAAAGTTTGTCTAACGGAAGTTACTGACAGACTTAAATATATTGATGATTATGTTCATCAATAAATGCATTAGTGAAATAATCAAAGGAAATCTTTTTTTAGAAGTAAATACCACTGGTTCTCGAAGGATTACCGATGGCAGGTCAACGATAGATTGTGACGGTATTAGGTTATCGACGGATTTCCGGCAACATCAGGTTACTAACATATTTTCAATGACACCAGGTTAGCAACAGATCTCCCAAAGTCATGGTTACCAAACTTTAAATCGTCTAATTTGTCCTAACAACTTATTGTAACGTCTTTATATAAGATGCACAGTTGTTGGTTTTATAAACTTAAAAGCGTAGCCCCTATTAGGATGGTTTGAACATTATAACCGATAGCCTTCAATTTTAGAGTTATTTGTCACTCTTTTTAAATCCGTTTTCACCCATTTTATGCCCATTTGAACCTTTCAAATCTTCTTTGGTCTAAATTGTTCCTAAAAGTGAGAAATAACTGAAAATCTCGAATTTTTTGAGCTGGTGCACCATGTGGCCACACTGTGACCACTGTGGCGAACAACTAAATCAAAAGGTTTTCTGCAAAATTTTATTACCAAATCGGTGAAATTGGGAGTAGAATTGGACCAACGTCAACTATGAAATTCTCATGAAAGAATCCAGTAATGAGGTAAACCAAGCTTATAAAGAAGCATATTACCTTGCTAGAGGATAAATCTCACCCAAAATCTGCTTCAAACTTCAAAAATTCCATCAAAGGGCCTTTGGCCTAGCGGTATTGTAATCTCTGGCCTCCTAGACTATTACACTCATCCTTTCCTGCTCGTCAGACCACCTTCTCCTTTCCCACTCCGATCCAGTAGAGTCCACTGACTAGTGCAACATGCTAGGACGCTCGAAAGAACCATGACATCGGGCAAAATGTGATATGGAGCATATATGAGTTGACTGTTTCAAAATCAATGAGAACTGTAAGTAAAAATTACCATCAATTTCAAACCAACATAACTTTCGAACCAAATGAACTCACATGGCCCAGGAGAAACCAATGGGAAGGTTTAGACAACGCGTTTAGTATATGAAGTAAAAGGCACCAACGAGTCCAAAATTTATTCTCTTCAATTTTAAGTGACCGTTGTTGATGAAATTCCAAAACGAACTGGTAAATTGCGATTGAACTAAAACCCAAAGTTTCCTTCATCCGATGTAATTTCGCTTAAGAATTATCAGTATTTTAGCTGTTTTCTTGATTTTCATACATCTTTAATTAAGGATATCCCGCATTTAGTTAATTTCCAAATTTCATTGGCTAATATAATATTTTCCTCTCAAGTTTCTTGATTATCTACTAAGGTTGTGTTTAACAAATTAACTGATAAACTAGCCGGTTAAGGATTTACCCAGTGTGAGATATCACATCGTTCGAGGAACCCTAGATGCTGTCGATCGAATCGCCGAATCGGAAAAATTGGGTGCTATCGCATAGCTTTGTATCGGCTAAGTTCACGATTGATGAACTCGTCATGTTTGACAAAAATGTAGCTGATAAACTTGAGAAATGTAAAAAGACTAAAATGATATGATAAAAAAACAGTCAATTCTAACATTACATAATATAATTAAAACAAATCATTAATAATATGATGTTAATTAACAAAAACAAAATGGTAAAAAAAAATCAATTAATATATTATGTTAATTAATAAAACTTCAATTTGTTTATTAATTATTAATTTTGTGTGTAAACAGATGTGAATATACAGAAAAATATTACATTAATTGATTAATTTTAAACAAATTATATCTATACTATATTATAAAGTATTAGTTAATTCTCTTAAAAACAAATTATCATGTATAAGGTACAACTAATTTGTGCACATTACTTAAAAATAAAAAATACCAGTTAATTATGCATACGCACATGTTTTTAAAGCAAAGGTTCACAGATGCTGTGAATACCTCTACATTTAGTTAACACAAACACTACTAAATGAAAGACTTTTGCTTACGGATTTTTCTCTGGGAAACCTGTCGTTAAAGGGTGATTCGTCACAAAACCGTCACAAAAGTTGGTCGGATAAATTTTTTACGAATAATTCAAATCAGTGATAGATTACCTAGGGATTCTCTAGTTGATATTGGTATTTTCTCAAAAAACATCAGATTCTACCGAACCATTGCTATTTTCTCGGTGATAGAAATTTTGTTTAATGGAGCAATCTGTACAACATAATTGAGTTTATAGGATACCCCAATCTCTAAGTGTCTCAATAGACCACTTTATAGGACTTAATTTATAGGATCAAAACATAAAGCGTCTTATCTAAAGATATTGTAATAAGTTTATATGACGCTTTTGGGCGTCTTAACAAGTTTTTTTTAGGACATTTCTAATACAAAGTGTCGCATTAGC